GATGCAGCCACTGACAGTGGTTGAGTGAACAGCATGGTGGGATTCCAATAAAACTTTATCAAAACAAGCACAGGGCCACATGTGGCAGGGCACAGCCCATGCCTCAGATAACAGGACCCTCAGACGAATGCTGACTTTGATGTCACCAAGACAAATCTAGGAAATACTTTTCCACCACAATGTGTGACAGTCACCATTCCCTGAGGGCACAAATATAAATAAGGACCCTGGCTATAAAACACTAGAGGCCCATGTGAACATTAAGAGGAATAACGAATACTTGTATATTTAGAAAGTAAGTGATGTTCTAATTCCAAGATTACAGGCATGAGAGGAGCTGCTATGCAGAGGGACGTTGTTTAAAGCATCCATTAAACGTGAATATTTCATCTTCCAACATAGCCGTCACCTGGGGAATGACTTACCTAAAATGATCACAAATAATGGCTTCACTCTGATCTGTAAGCCAGAAGACTAACACTGAAGTTAGTAACGACTGCAGCATTCTTGCAAGTCATAATGGAAATAATTTGCATCATGGTAGAGAGAAAAAGGAAAAAAAGTCGGGAATTGTTCATTAACTTCACTGTTTCTCCACAAATGCAGGGAATATTAGCAACAGGCTCGCTGGTATGCAGGCATCAGGGTTTAATGGGATGTAATTGAAGTATGGGGAATGACTTAATCGGGATGGCAGGTTGTTTAATCATGGGGATAACGAATCTTCTGTAAGGACAAACCAATGGCACAGAAGGAGCCATGAGAGGACGGGCCATCACAGGACACGTGGGGACCAGGTGCTTCACAGAGATGCCGAGGCGCTGATAGGTATGAGGCATCCTGTTATACATGACTGTCCCCCATGGCAATCGCTGGGGAGAGAGATGGGAGGGCCCAGGAAAACCTCCCACAAACCTCAGTGGAGGCGCCGCCAACTCCGCAGCTGCACAACGTTGTTTCTCTAGCACCTTCTGACAGCCGCGAAAACTTGCCCAGACCTGAGGACAGTGCACGTGTTGGCTGGTTGGACACTGCCACTCAGGGACAGCAGGAGAGTGAGTCCATGATTCTGGGCTCAAGAGTTCAAGAACCCATTTCACGCAGTGCTTTGATCACAAGTCTGCCCTCCCCTGCTGACTCAGCACGTGGCTGTGTGCGATGGGCTGTTCCCATCTCCTGGAAGAGAAGCAAATATCTGGCCTACCACATGACCACTCTCCTGGGACTGAAGCCCCAGGCCTTCACCGGCTTCCCAGTTCCCAGGCGATGGCTCCACTCTCAAAAGTCAGGTGGCCAGCGCCTAAGACTCCCTGTCCACAACACGGGATGGGCTCAGTATCCTGCCAAGGAACAGAACAGCAGAGAACAGATCTCACTCTCGTCCAGCCTCTACGCGGAGTTTCTGGGAGCTAAAAAAGGGCTGGAGTCCTGAGTGCACGACACTCCCTGATGTGATCGGGGAGGAGGCCAACGTCAGGGCAGTGACCTCACTGCCTCATGGAACACCAGCCAGGAACACCTTGATGGAGGTGTCTCCCTCCTTCCTTCCCTCTCCTCCTCTTTCCTTCTTGACTTCTTCCTCCCTCCTTTTTCCTTTTTTTTTGTTTTTGTTTTTTTTAGAAACGGGGTCTCACTCTGTCGCCCAGACTGGAGTGCAGGGACACAATCACAGCTCATTGCAGCCTTGAATTCCTGGGCTCAGGTAATCCTTCTGCCCCAGCCTCCTGAGTAGCTGGGGCTAGAGGTGTGTACTGGCTAATTTTCAAAATTTAATTAATAATGAAGAGATGGAGGAGTCTCGCTATGTTGCCCAGGCAGATCTTGAACTCCTGGCCTCAAGTGATCCTCCTGCCTTGGCCTCCCAAAGCACTGAGATGACAGGCTTGAACCACTGCACCTGGCCAAGGATGGTTTCCTGTGGTACTAGAGTAAGCATGGCTCTGGGAACTTTGCTTAAATTTCAGGCAAGACAGGAATATTCCTCCAATATTGCAAATAATGATCTCATGTATAAGAAATTGGCAAGCTGTCTTTACGTTCTAGAAAACACCCCACACCTCAGGGTGGACACAACCTAGTCTCAGAGGTGGGAAGCCCAGCTTTCCAGTTGGTGAGCCTGGCCCTTTCTCACATGCATCCCTGCCTCTGCCCCAGGCTCTGCAATTTCAAGCTGTCCCTGTGGCTGCTCTCCATTCTCCTGACTTTCCTTGAAAGAATCACACCCACCACACAGACACCACAGCACACACACCCACACAGCACACACAATACACACACACACCTCAAACACACATACCACCACATACATCCCCCCCCACCCCCAGCTGGTTCTCCACACCTAGGCTTTCAATGACATAAACACTTCGGGCAGATTTGGGAAATCCCGACTTGAAACCACTGGGGGTAGTGGGGAGGAAGACCAGGAGGAAGGAGAACTAGAAAGCTGGTGCCAGTGGGGGGCTTGCCTGAAAGAAAAAGCAAGGCCTCACATTTTATGTTGACCTTCTTCTACCATCTCATCACATGGCACAGCTGGCATGTGCTACCTCCACAGCTTCTGGGACAGTCCTAAGCCACAAAGGCTGGCTGGATGGTCCTCAGAGGGCACCAGCCTGAAACCCAAGGGGAGGGGCCCAGCCAGGAGGCCCCTGCCAGCCTGAGTACTGGCAAATCTGAATTTGAAAAGGAAAATTTGTGTGGGTTTCTGAAATCCTAACTTCCCATTACCCTTTTCCCCAGGGGCTATAAAGAAAAAAACTTCAAGAGTTGACATGGATTTCTTCAACATCAAGCAACATTCTGATGATGAGTTGAGTGTTAACAAATCTGAAACACATGGTCTTAATTGACTGTGAAATAAATAATGTTTCAAAATGAAAGGGAAGAAGTACTCAGATGTGGAGCTCTGAAAGGAGTCAGACCTCCACTGCCTGGGGCCCTGGCGCCTCCTGTCCCCATCCAAACCCTTCCCCTCCTTCCTGTGCAGGGATGTCTTCAGGAAGCTGAAATGGGCAGGCTTCTCCACTTGCAAAGTTTTTCTTCAGGGACCTCTGGGGCTTCTACGTTTTAAGGTAAAGCACAAGGTCTTCTAGGTCAGGGTCCCAGACCCAGAGTGGGCTGCAGGATAGCCCGCAGGCCCGGTGCAAGGTCCAAGTCCGCCTGTTTTCCAAGGTGCCCCAGCACGCTCTCCAGGCTGAGCGCAGGCAGCATTTTTTGGGAGTTGAGAAGAAATGTCCATGCTGGGGCTCCCTGCCCAGACACCTGGGTCCATCAGTCCCAGGAGGCCCAGCACAGACACACCTGGCTCGCTATTACTAGCAGGTGTTCCATGAGACCCGAATTAAATGGAGTAACTTGTACACAGCACAAGTGCACTGGGTCATGTGGGTGGCAACACAAAACAAGGACTCTTTCCATCCTCACAGCACGCCGTGAGACACACAGGCACCATGACCATTAATCACCTCCAATCCACACATAGAGAATGAGGCTCAGAGAAGCTTAGAAACTTGCCCAATGTCACACAGTTAACCACTGGCCGAGCAGGATTCAAACCTGCCTGGCTCCAGTCTCCACGCTCCTGACCACTATACCAATGGTTCTCAAACAGCAGTATCAGGGCTCGTCAGAAGAGTGAATTATTGGGCCACACCCCAGACCTACTAACTCAGAACTCTGGGATGCTGCCTAGCAATTGGTGTTTAGCAAGATTTCTGGGTGTTATTTTTAAAATTTTTTGTAGCAATGGGCTCTCACTATGTTGCCCATGCTGGTCTTAAGCTCCTGGCCTCAAGCAAGCCTCCTGCCTTAGGCTACCAAAGTGTTGAGCCATCACCCAGCCCTTTCTAGGTGATTTGCACCCCACTTCCTTGCCCCTCAGATGCAGATGGGGACATGGACAGAAGTCAGATTGTTGGCAAGCAGTGACTATCAGCCCAGCCTCCCGCCTTTCGGGCGGCAGCTGAGTCTGGTAGGTAACCTTCTATGCAGGGGTGAGCCACATCTGGCGGTGACACAGAACTTAAAACTGCTGCTCTGTGGACTCTTCTCCCTGTACACGGTCGACAGCACCGTGGTGCCTCTCCAATTAGGGAACGAATTCTTCCCGGATGACACCACAGTCCTCGCCAGCCAGAGCGAAGCCACAGGAGACTCGGCTCCCGTCACGAGTAGCTCCACTGTAATCTCTTCCTCTTTCTCCACTAACAAGAAGTCCAGAGTCTCCAAAAAGCTAAAGATCACCCCAACACCACAATCTCTTTCCCAGGTCTATACAGACAGGGAGGCACAGACAGTCCTGAGCAAGGCTGCTCCGGCCTCCTGTCTGTTGAGTGTAGCTATATTGGTGTGTCTTTCTTTCGGGAGGGTGGTGGGGGTGAGGTGGAGAGGGGAAGAGGGAGTTCCCGGCATCGAGGCCCTCCACCTGAGCAACGTCCTCCTACAGGGACTCAGGAAGCTCCCTGAGACACCTGGTGAGACCACGGGATACTGAGTGCACAACACGGAACATCTGCCACCAACCCATGAAATAAAGTGAGAGCGTCGCGCTGCAGGGGGAGCACAGTGGCGTTTGTCTTGCGTTATCGTTCTAAAATAAGACGGCCTCAATTTGGTTGAAATATATCTTCACACATTGTCTTCCTGGAGCCAAGCTTTTGAGAGACTCCGATTGCAATTATAAGTGCCGACGCGGGAGCGCTTGGCTTTTCCTTTGACGCCGCCAAGAGCTACCAGCAATCCTGATATTAAAACCTTCGGAAATTGATGAGTACCCTAGGCCTCGTTACAGTGCTTTCTCCCCCAATCCAAGCCATTAAAATCTATTATGTGAACGTGTGTTCATATTTTATCAGCTACTGTTTTTAATTAACTGAACGCACAAGGCCTCCCAAGGTAGGAAGGCTGCCGCTTCTCTGTGAGTGGTCTGCCCGCCCCCACCCCAGTCCTAATCCCCAGCTGGACTCATTCTGGGCCTGGATAGGGACTTGGAGGGAACATACCACGGCACTGAACTCTGGGACCTGCCAGAGCAGCCAGTCTTCATTGAGGGTATACAGGGCCTTGCAGGTGATCACGTCCACGGGACCCTTGTTGATCTTCTGGTTGAGCGTGGTCACCAGCAGGTAGAAGGGCTCACCCACCGTCTCCTGGGAAGACACGGAGCCGTATTAGCCTTCGGCAGAGGCTGCTGTGCTCCCAGCGAACTCAAGGTGCTGCTGATGCAGAAGACAGGAAGCAGAGCTTTCCAACGAGTCACCAGAACCGCCCAGGAAAACATGGCTGCTCCATTTGGGACCAGACATGAAACTCCATTACCTCCTCCTGTCCCCACACAGAGCACATGCATGTCCACAGCCCGGGGGCCATCGTTACATTCATACTCACAGGGGCAGTTGTTTACACTCGCGCAGTATACACAGCCTGTAGGCCATCCTTACTCTACATTTGTACTCATGTAGAGAGGTGTTTACACTCATGGAAGATGGTGTTTACACTTACGTGGTCTACACAGCCTATAGACCATCGCTACCCTACGTTTACACTCACATAGGAAGGTGTTTACACTCATGTGGTCTACACAGCCTGTTGGCTATTGTTACCCTATATGTACATTCATTGGGGGGACTCATGTTTCCCGGTAGGTTCATGCCTAAGAACAGGTAGGAGACATGGAGATGGAACCTTTGTAAACATTCCTATTTACTTGCGTTTTTTAGCAAACCAAAAATAAATAACATTTTAAAAGGTGCAATTAGCCTTAGTGACAAGGAAACTTCAGAACCTCTCAGACATTTGCCAGAGAGGACGGTTTCTAGTGTTAACAGTATCTCACAAGGGAAGTGACCATCATTTCCACAACTTGCAGTCTATGCCCTCCCCTGGCCCCAGACATACCTGCATACCTGTGCGCCCCCCCTCCGCACACCCTCTTCATAGGGCTGGACCTCAAAAGCATGCCACCCCATCCTTGTCAGGCCCAATTTCTTCCTAAAGGCTCTTTCCAAATACTTGGGCCCACCATGGGGCTTCTTTCTTCAGCTGCAAGCCCTGGGTGCTTTTCCTGGAGGGGGCCGGACCTCTCACCCACTGTTCCCTAACCTCATTTAAGCCTCCTGGGATCCCACCCCTGTACCCTCCCAGCCACCTTCTGCCCCTACCCCTCGCCTGGTGGCTTCTTTCCCCACTGCTTCATCCTGGAGTCTTCTTCAGGGCAGGACAGAGGTGGAATGTTCAGGAATTTCCAAGGTGTTCAGGAATTTCCAAGGTGGGGAGGCAGCAGGACCTGTGCCCGACATTTACGTCTCGTGAGATGCTTCCTGTATTTTGTGGCTCACAGCCTCACCGTACTCTCTGTCCTGCACCCCAGTGGTGTCCCAGCCACAAAACCAGAGCTTACTTCTCCTTCCTCAGCACACTCCAGAGATGAAGCCAGGACCCTGGTGCCGAGTGCGTGTGCCCATAGGGGTGGGCTGGGGAGGGGGGGGCTCTGCTGGGCTGACCTATGGTCAGGAATCCTCCTGAACTCCCCAGAGTACAGCAAGGAGGAGACATGTAGGGCTGCTCCTGCACTGATGTGTGGCTGGCTTGGGGACTGAAGGGGCGGAAGAGGTTCCTTAGTCACCTGTGAACACAGCTGCTGGGGACATTCCCTTCCCAGAAGGCCAGGCTCAGGTGCTTCCACAGGTGTGGGCAGACCCTGTCTTCTCAGCACACAGGGAGTAGCCGAGTGTGCCAAGGCCCTGGCACAGTCCCACACGGTTGGGGACTGGCGAAGACTCACACCTGTTTTGTGTGCCCTGATTCCCCTACATTCAAAATGGTCCTAACCTGTGAGGTCATCTCCCAGGACCGTGAAGGGGCAACAAAGTGAGCAAAGCCCTCCTCATCTGTCGGGCATGCTCAACACATGGCCTTATTATTTTACCCATAATCCTCCGTGTCTTGGGAGGGGATGTCACCTGGAGGGCATGGACCTGGTGGCCCTCACTCAGCATCTGTGGGGTGGGCAGGAGGATCAGGGTTGTCAGTGCCCCAGACCCCCTTGGGCACCTGAGGGGGACACCAAACCCCCACCCCCACCCCTGCACCCCCAACAGGGAACTGTTCCACTGAAAGCGAAAGTGTCGCTGACACCTCGATGCCACTTCCTCCAGGCACCCACCACCCATTGCTCACTCTTGAATCAGCACTGTGAATATTTACCCAGAATGCTTTGCTCAAGGGGGCATGCTGGGTTTGGAGCCTGGATTTTCTGAACCCTTTGCCCCGGGACTGCCCCAGAGCAGCCCTTAGGAGTTTAGAGTAAAAATCACAAGATCCCAGTAGAAAGAGCCAGAAAGGAATCTCAGACCCCTGACCACATAGTCCTCATCTGGAGAATGGAAAACAGATGTCCAGGCAGGCACATAGTTGGTTGACTGAGATGACTTCAGAGCCCAAGCCTGCTGCTTTTGAGCAAGACTCCTCATCCAGTGCTCTCTCTCTCACCCCAGGAATGTGCAGATAGAGGGCACCCAGAATATCCTGGGGGAGCTTGTGACCATCATGAGTTGACGGGCCCTACCTCCCAAGCTTCTGGCTCAGCTGGCAGGGGTGAGGCAGGAGCTATCCTTTGAAGAGGGAGGCTGAGGACCCAGGTGAGAACCCTGGTGCCTCCGTTCAGCACAGTTGTGGCTAAAGTGATGACGGTGGGAGGCAAAAAAAAATTCGCCCCAGAAATAACTGGCGCGACACCTCCCCAGAGCATACAATGATTTATACCAAGTAAACAGAAAAGAAGGCAGATTTCATTAATCTTAATAAATGGGTATTGCCTTGGGAGAGGAAGGGGCTGGTGAGAAATTCAAAAAAGGGCTGTGCATCCCCATGTAAGACTGTGGTGCACTGTGTTAAGCTAAGCACAGTCTATTTCAAGTGCTGCTTTCAGATCTAACTTAAGTAGCCCTGTTCAAACCTGTGGCATTGCAGTGAATCTTACTCAAAATTTAATGAGATTTCAGAAGCAGCAACACACACACAATGACATAGGTTTGCCAGAATTCAGGTGGCTGGGGAAATTCAAGGGTAAGGACTTGAGGCTCAGCAGGACACTCTTATTTTCATACTGATATTTAACAACAGCAATGGCCAGCTCACCGGGAGGACTTGCCCAGAGCTGGGCAGCTCATGCATTTCTCATGTGCACTTTGACACCATCCTGCTGTCCTCCTCTGCCTCTAGCTCTAGAAGTTAGGAGGCCAGACCTGAGGTTGGGGTCTGGCCCTGAGAAGCTGGGCGGTTAGGAGGCCAAGGACAGGGTGAAGTCTAGATTCAGATAGGCAGCAGGATCCCACGCCCAACCACGGAACCCCTGGGGTCCACAGAACATTCCCACTCGGAAGAATTTCAAGGCAGTCCAATGACAACCACATTCGCTCAGCTATCAAAGAACATCCATGGCCAGGTGGACCTTGGGGACCTCACAGAGTGATGGGAACTTGAGTCCCAGTAGGTCCTGGGAATGTTTTTTTTTTTTGGTTTTTTTTGAGTCGGGGTCACTCTGTCACCCAGGCTAGAATGCAGTGGTATGATCATGACTCACCACAGCCTCAACCTCCTGGGTTCAGGCAATCCTCCCACCTTAGTCCCCTGAGTAGCTGTGACTACAGGAGCACACCACCACACCTGGCTAAGATTTTATTTATTTATTTATTTTGTAGATGAAGTATCTGTTGCCCAGGTTGGTCTCAGACTCCTGGGCTCAAGTGATCCTCCCACTTCGGCCTCCCAAAGTGCTGGAATGACAGGCGTGAGCCACCACCTGCCAGTCCTGGGAACTTCTGAGCCACTCCAGAGGGCCTGAAACAGCTCTCTTCCATTCTGGAAAGGCACCTTCTTGGCACACGTTCTTCCATGGGCCAACCAGGAGCTGGGGGTAACTGGTGCCAAGGACAGGACAGGGAGCTCCCTGGCTTGGCCTCACCTGGGGCTGCCTGAAGCGTGGCCCACACAGGCCAGCTACGACCAAGTCAACATCTGCTGACCCCACGACCTGTCCTGCAAAGGTACCCTGCCCCACTAGCCACACCACTCACCCGCAGGAAGCCCGAGAGGCACACAGACATCCAGTTGGTGAGCAGCTTCTCCACCACTGACTCGGTGCGCCGCAGCATCAACTTGGGCTGCAAATTGCTGCTCTGCTCCATCAGATCCCGTGTCAGCACCTCCAGGATGCTGGTCAGGTACCCCAGCTTGGTCTGCAGTGCGATGGTCAGGAAGGAGGCGAACAGGCACCTGTCAGGGATAGCCTGGTGACCGCCCTGCTGGGGGCAGGAGGGTCCTATAAAGTTTGGTGACCACCCTCAGGGGATAAAGGTCCTATAGAGAGCCTGGTGAACACCCTGGGGGAGCAGAGGTCCCGTGGAGAGCCTGGTGACTGCCCTGGGGGGGCGGCAGTCCTGTGGAGAGTATGGTGACCACCCTGGGGGGACAGAGGTCCTGTGGAGAGCCTGGTGATCTCCTTGGAGGGACGGAGGTCCCATAGACCGCCCTGGGAGAGTGGGAGTCCTGTGGAGAGCTGGTGACTTTCCTGGGGGGTCAAGGGTCCCATGGAGAGCCTGGTGACCGACCTGGGGGATGGGGATCCTGTGGAGAGCCTGGTGACCGCCCTGGAGTTATGGGGGGCCCATGGCAAGCCTGGTGACCACCCTGGGGGGACAGGGTTCCTGTGAAGAGCCTGGTGACCACACTGGCAGGGGCAGTGGTCCATGGAGAGCCCAGTGACTATCCGCTGTGGGCCCAGTGAGTAGCAGGCGGGGACAGAGGTTCCTGGAGGGGGTGGGGGTGGGGTCCTGGTGGGAGCCTTTTTTTTTTAATGTTTGGGTTTGAACCACTCTGTCCTCAGTTATAAAACCTCACTCCAAGTTAACCTTGGGCATCTTCCGGATCAGCATTTAAACTAGAGTGGTAACAAGAAGTGAGTCTCCCAAATGTTCAGGGTGTTTTTAAAATTAAAAAGGACACTTCTGCTTTTTTAAATCAAAAAGTTATGTGGGTTTTTTGGGTGTTGGGGGTTTTTCAGGGTTTTTTGATGGGGGAAATGTGTGTGCCTTCACAATAGAATTTATGTTGGGAGCCCAATGTGGTGGTGTATGCCGTAATCTCAGCACTTTGGAAGGCTGAGATGGGAGCATTACTTGAGGCCAGGTGTTCGAGACCAGCCTGGACAGCATAGCAAGACCCCATCTCTAAAAAAATAATCAATTGGGCATGGTGGTTCACACTTGTAGTCTCAGCTATTCTGGAGGCTGAAGCAGGAGGGTCGCTTGAGGCCAGGAGTTAGAGACTAGCCTGGGCAGCATAGCAAGATCCCATCTCAAAAAAAAAATATTTGCCATTGGGGCGGCATGACCTGAAATGGAGACATTCATTCAAAAGGGCTCTGAAAAAGGGCATGTTCTCAAGACAGCAAGTTCAGGCAGTGGTTTGGAAATAAAATACGGGGCTCAGGTATATTTTCTCTTGCAGAGGTTTTCAAAACCTAAAGAACGGACTAATACCTGTCCTTCACGGAAAAGTTCTTCTGTTTCTCAAGGGTGTGGATGACAGTGACTAGGAAACTCTTATTACAGATCAGGGCATCCAAAGCTGTGAGACTTTCATTCTTGTCATTGGCATCTCTGTTCTGGAAAAAATATATATATAATATAATACAGTATAACATACAAGTGTAAAGTTAGAAAGAAGAGCCACAATGGGTTTTCCAAGACAATGAATTATTTAATATTGAATTCATGATCCCAAAAAACCCACAATAAAAATTCCAAGTGATAATAATGGAGATGATGATGATGATGATAACACTATGACAGTCGGGCAGTCACTGGGCTAAAAATAAAAACGCAGAGACTTACATGCATGTCTTCAGTGAAGATGTGTGTGAAGCCACCTGACTGGGGAAGGAGACACTCATTATTCATCACATCCAGAGGAAATGAAGAGTGTATTTCTGTTACAATACCCGAGTCTGTTTTAATAAAGTCGAGACGCTATTTGCTAATCTGAAGAGCCCCTGGGTTCATGCCTGCTGCAAATTCTCTAATATATAATAAATAATTGTTCAGCTCTCAAGAAGCGCCAACGAACTCTGAAAGCCTCGAAGAAGAATAATGATCGTTGCATCAGTCCCATTTCTAGAGGATAAAAGTATCATCTCACATTGTAAAAAAGCGGACTTAAAGAAGGAGTCACTGATGAATGTTATGCAAATGTCAGACTACTCCTCCAGCAACTGACCTTCTCGGGTAAATAATGAATTGGGTTGATAAGTTTTTTCCCAAGTCTCAGCTAAGTCAAGAGGGGGTGGGGTGGGCAGGGTAGGAGTATGAACTCTAGAGCCAGACCACCTGAGTTCTGGTCCTGGTTTTTTCACATACTCGTCACATGACTTTGAACAAGTTACTCAGCCTCTCTGTATCTGACTTTCCTTATCTGTAAAATGGAGGCAATAATGGTTCTCACCTCGTAGACTTAGTATGAAAATAAAGTCACCGAGTGCCAAGTAAGTGCTGTGTGTCAGCTGTTATTATTGTCTTTTCCCCTAAATTATAGCAAACTAGACCACAATGGTATTACCCTACTGGCTCCTATAAAGAATTTTTTTGTGCTACATGCTAGGTAGCTTCTGAACACACTTTCAAATTTGAGGTCTTTTAGCATATCATAAATCTTACGGGAATGAATGATTCAATTTTAAAAGTGTGTTGTGTAATACTTTCAAGGAGTCAACAGAATGAAAGTACAAACTCAAACATGCAGGTTTTTCTTTTTTCAATTTTTGATAGTAATAGAAACTTTGAGCCAATTTTATATCTTATTAAAATAAATTTATTCTGCTGATAATTTTGTTTCATATCTTCAAATATGTTAGCCACAGCAGAAGACCTGAGACTATTTTGGTCTTGTCCTTCCCTAGTAAAAAGCAAATTAAATCAGATCCTAGGTTTGGATATTCTAGTTCTTAATATTTTTCTGCTGAACCAACTTCATGTGAATGGATAGCTGAGATGATTGATTCTCAGCCTCAAATGTGGAAATACCACCCCGGCTCTCTCTTTTCTCCTTGCGTTCAAATTTCCCTTTGCCTGGAGGTTAGGCCCTCTGCCTGCCCTGGTTTCTTCTCCTGTTTTCAGCAAAACAAGGGAGAGTTAACTTAATCAAAATCAAGGCTTTAAGAGTCACAACTAGTGGGCAGTCCAGGGAGCCCTCCCATGTGGACCTGCAATATCCTCTGGACCTCGCCTGCTGCTGTCGGATCCATGTTGATCATCACACCTGTCCTACCCACAACCCCAGGCCTCAAGGACCTGGCTTCTGACCAATCAGCAAAGGCCCTGGCTAACTTGGGCCATATCCGCAGCCTGGACCCATGCCAGGGGGCACGGTCCTACCATAATAGGCTTCTCTGCTCCCTCTATTCCCCTTTCCTAATTATTGTAAATCCCATCGTGGCTCAGGTCTTCCTGATAGACTTCTGACAAATCATGCCTGCTTTCCTTCCTTCTGTCTTCCATGTTTATGGCCTTCCCAGGGGCCCTTTGAGATTACACACAATGTCGAGTTAAATCAGCTCCTTGAAACTCTCTTCTCCTAAAATGATGTCGCATTGTTCCTGGATTTTTTTTTTTGGAAACATTCAACTGGCAACAGTTCCTTTACACTCATCACTCTTGATTACCAGATTTAGAAGATAGGAACATTGCTTTTTTCAGGCCACAGATTACTCTATTCAGCACTCAAGGGCAATCATTAACTGAGAAAGCCCACGCAGTACTCTTGTTGATAGTCAAAAATCTCCGTTATTTTATTGCTGTTAAATTCTTAATGGGGATCTCAGAGGTCTGCGAGGCGGGGCTCCTGATGCAAAACTGCACCATCACCCTGCTCGGGGATGAGGTGCCCCAGGGAGCATCCTGTCCCGGAATGGATGAAATGAACAGTGGCCAGTTTTGTTGTCACCATTCCCGGAGAATACAGAAAGAAAAGAAAAAACTTCCCAAGCACAAAAAGTGAAGTCTTATTTACAGCCTTCTTGATCTACAGCATTGAGGCTTGGACCCAAAACCAGGGCGGGTGTTTTATGGAGGGATCCCAGCCTCCGGACACAGCCTTGCCTGTCATGTGTCCATTTCCAGAATTATAGGGAAGCTGGACGTTGCTTACAGCATGCATCTGCATTTCTGAACTCTAGGCTTCTGGCCATATGTTGTGGAAAGGTTTCTGGTAAGGTGATAGGAACTATCCTTTGGCCTGCAGAGATTTCTTGCTGTGCTTAGAAGTCGAGATTGAAATAGGATCGTCAGTATTGATGCGTTTCAGAGGCTGGGCCACTCAGTGGTCATCAGACCGACAAAAAAGAAGGGCAACACAGTGGGGCCGGGGTACTAGGACGTGGAGGTGATGACACGGAAGATGAGTGTGCCTCGCCAGAGACTTGGGAGGGCAATGAAGGAGGCTGAGTGGGTGGTGAGAGAATGGAGGTGTCAGAACAGAAGTGAGACCAGCAACCAACCACAGGGTTAAGGGGACTACTCCTTGGATAAACACACGAATTAGTTCATGCAGCCCTTTCTAGGCGGCAGAGAACCACCAAGACTCCTCTGCTAATACTGCCTGTTTCCAACTCCCACTCCACCCCTGACTGCTTATCTGCTGTCCTTCCTCCCAGCCCGTCGGAGTTCTCATTTCCAATTGAGAAGTAATAGTGAATAATCTGGTCGCAGTGATAGGAGTCATGCAGATAAACACAACAAATTGACCAGCTCATACCATATTGATTTTTAAATAAACTAGCTCACTTCCCAGCTAAACGTTCCATTCTAAACTGGGAGTAAAATGAAGCAAAAACCATCACTCTGAACTTCTGTCCCTCCTAGGTTTCTGTTACTGGACAAAGAAGAATCACCAGTGACCCATTCCTGCTCTGCACCATAATCAATGCAGTTAATAAGCACTGCCCCCCTTAAGCTATTCTTTCCCATCAAGCATGTGATCTCCGCAACCTTGGGAGCAAACACCATATTGACAACAGCGACAAGCACTGCCATTGCTATTCAAGACTCAAGCTTGGGAAGATGATCAATGCTCCTTTACCTCAGGGAAGAAAGTTCTCAGCGCAAAATGCTTGTAGTCTAGGAAGGGAACGGTTCCAAAACTATCAACCACGTCCAATTTATCCATCTGCAGCTCGGCAAAGCCTGCAAAACACAGTCCCAAGAGCAGCGTTTCAACTCCTCTGCTGTGGGCAAGATCTGCACTGTTTGGTCTAACGCAGAGGACGATCTTGGTTTTCATTCAGGGAGAGACAGGGATGGTCATGCGGCTGGCTGCAGAGGGAAGCACAAGGCCAGCCGGGCCATAGCTCTGCTGTCCCCGGGATTCTCCACTCTCCTTGCTGGGGCCAATCTGACGGGAGAAGTGCCCATGGCAGGGAGAAGCGCATGAGGCGGGGAGAAGCATACATGGCAGGGAGAAGCGCATGAAGTAGGGAGAAGCACCTGTGGTGTCCGGCCGCCATGAGGTTCTTACCGTCCCGAATCTCCTTGCGCAACTCACTCTCCAGGAGCTCCAGTTGCTGGCTCTGCTTGCGACTCAGCTCCCTGGACTTGTGTCTGGTCACCCCCACGGCCGCTGCGAGACAGAGACACCACGTCAGGGCCACTCGCAGTCCACACACAAGCACATAACCGCCTTCACAGCTTTTTTTTTCATGTTTTTATTTTTTTGTAGAGATGAGGTTCACTATGACACCCAGGTTGGTCTCAAACTCCTGGGCTCAAGCAATCCTACTGGCTTGGCCTCTCAGAGTGCTGGAATGCCAGGGGTGAGCCATCATGCCTGGCCGTCTTCCCCCTGAGTCAGGATTTCACTCCATATCCCAGGCTGGAGTGGCGCAATCATGGCTCACTGCAGCCTCAACCTCCTAGGTTCAGGTGATCCTTCTGCCTCAGCCTCCCAAGTAGCTTGGGACTACAGGCACATGCCACCATGCCTGACTGTTTTTTTTTTTTTTGGTAGAGATGAGGCGTCACTATTTTTCCAAGGTTGATCTTGAACTCCTGGGCTCAAGCAATCCTCTTGCCTCAGCCTTTCAAAATGCTGGGATGACAGGTGTGAGCTACCATGCCCAGCCTACAGTTCTAAAAAAATAAATAAGTAAAACAAGGAAAATGAAAGAGAGATAGAGATGAGACAGAGAGAGAGAAAGAGACACAGACTAGAAAATAGCATTTAAGAGCTGGATTTTGTAAGAAGGAAATTTTCCAGTGAGGGGTCACACTCTAGAGGAAGATGCTAAAATGCAACAGAAAAAATCCACTCATTTTAAAACTGAAAACTAAACTAAATCAAATAAACTTCACTTGTAACCAGAGGTCCCAGCAGGTTGGAGAGTAATGAAACACCCCATCTCCCTTCAGCCCTGCCTTGGATTCCAACACCAGAAGGAGGCTCAGACCCGCACTGGCCACAGGGCCAGACACACAGAGCTCGTGGACATGCTGGGTGAGCCACTGGGACCCCCAGGTCTAGCATGGCCCCTTTCTACCCCTCCTCTTGCTCCAGCCAGTAAGTCAAACGACTCGGTACTCAGGTTCTGCCCTGCTAGACCACATCCCGGCTGAGTGATCCAGGCTGAGTACTTCCACATCTCTATGCCTGGTTCACTGTGATGCTGAGGAGATTACTCAAGGTAACACATAGAAGGTGTCAAGGATGTATTCTCGGAAAAGAATAAGTATCCAGCGATCAACAATCATGATTATTCTAGAAGCCTCTCCTTCTCTAAAACACATTGTTGTTTTAGAGAAGAATGTCAATGGTGGATGGGAAAGAGGCTGGAAGAAGCAAAACCAAGTGTAGTTCACGGGCTCGTGACAGAGTCCGCGTCTTACCCACATGGGTTGTGTATCCCCAAGAGAGTGTGCCATGTGCAGTAGTTCTCAAACTTATGCCCATGGAATCCCCTTTCCCAGCAGCAGCCCTTGGGATGCCATTGCTCAGCCCACACTTTGAGCAACACTGGCTCAGCCTGTGAAGGCTTGCCCTCTTCCATGAATGCAGGGATGGGATGAATGAATGAATGTGTCATGAAAGGAGACACGAGTGACAGCCTCTATCAGCCTCCAGTATCGGAAGGACAGACCTAGGTTCCATCAAGAAGCACAAGGGCTCTTGACTGCTAGAGAAGAGTTCCGTTTTCAGAGAAGGATGGGAGGAAGCTGACTCCCAGTGGGAGTGACTCAGGACCAGAGTTGCTGCAGAGACCAGGCACACGGATGAGATCAGCAGGGGGAGACAACAGGGAGAGGTGGAGACTGCAGGGGATCCCCAGGAGCACATGCTCTCCGTGAGGCAGCTGCTACTCAACTCCAGGAACTGACGCTATGGGGAAATGGGTCCAGTAAGCCAAATCCTCCAACCTTTCAAGAGGTTCTTAAAAATGTGAATCACCAATTTTTAAATGTTATCAACTCCTTAATAGTTTTGAAAAGTGTTCTGTGGGCCAAGCAGAATGAATGCCAGATTCAGCCAGTGTGCAGCCGCGGGGCCCACGGTGCCGGGCAAGTCTCGGGCTACTTTGGGACATGACGCAGATCCACTTCAAAAGCAGTTCTGCCAGGAGGATGCGGGGAGGGTCAGGTGAACCCACCAAGTTCTGGGAGCCCCAAGCCCAGAGGAACACCAGGGAATGACTTAAATGGACACCTGTCACCACATTTCAAAGGAACAGGTAGTGGAGCAGCTTTGAGACCCAACCTTGTGCCACGGCCGCCTCCTGAGTCATGTTAGAAGCCCTCCATTCCTGCAGTTCCCTCCCAAGGTCCTGACTTGGGCCTCTACCCACAAGCGCTTCATCCAAGCAGACAGCCTGCAGTCAGAGCCTCCTGCCCCATGAGGGGTCCCAGGAGATGCTTCGACAGATTAAGCGGCCACTTACCAAAAATGACGACCACCAACAGGACGGGCAGCACGATCAGGAAATACCAGGTGGAGGGGGCGGACTCCTGCTCCACGAAGAGCTCCAGGTTCCCGAGCCTCACCTGGGGGGACAGAACACGTCACCGGGTTGGGTGAGGGACACCTGTCATGTGCATAATCCCCCACATGGCTTCAAGACACACAGCAATGAGCAAGGTGGTTCACTTAAGTCCAAGGCCCATCCAGGCAGATCACCACATGTCCTTGGGCACAGCAAAGGCATTCACTGTGCCTCAGTGTCCCCACATGTCAGTGTAGGTGTGTGGGACCAAACCCACTGATTTAGATGTCGCCCTCTTTGCCCAATGGACCTAGTAAGCCAAATCCTGATGCTATGGGAAAATGGGTGCAAACGGCAGGAAGGCAGCAATACAGTCGCAGTCCCCGGGGGTAAGAAGGCCTACCCGTATCCATACTGAACTCTCAGATATCTTGGGCTTCTCGACAGACCTATTTTCTTTTCTTTTCTTTTCTTTTTTTTAAGATAGGGTTTCACTCTGTTGCCAAGGCTGCAGTGCAGTGGCACAGTCGGTCATGGCTCCTTGCAGCCTCAACCTCCTCGGCTAAGTGATCTTCCTGCCTCAGCCTCTCGAGTATCTGGGTCTACAGACATACACCACCATGCCTCGCTAATTTTTTTAATTTTTTTTGTAGAGATGAGGTCTATGTTGCCCAGATTGGTCTGGAACTCCTGGGCTCAGACAATCTTCCTGCCTCACCTCCAAAGTGTTGGGATTACAGGTGTGAGCCACTGCACCTGGACTTGTCTTCCTTTTACGTCCCCCCTACAGGCAGCTGTTTTTGTCCGTCTTCTCCACTCTGTCCTGTCTCTTAGGAACCTAGAATGAGGGCATGTGTTCTTCTCAACTCAGCAAGGGTGTGTGTGTGTGTGTGTGTGTGCATTGAGAGCCTCAGTTGTTCTTGATTTTATGATCATCATCATCCCCTTTACCACACAAAGGACACAGGGTGAGGAGTCAGGTGACTTACTCAAGGCTACACAGCCACTAGCTGGTGCCACTGGGACACCAGCATGTTTTTGATTCTGCCTTCTGGTCTGATGCTCTTTTCTTGTCCAATTCCTTATCCAATTCCTTATGACTACAGATCGTAAGACCATGCAGAGCCTCCGACAGCAAGAACACTACCCAGGATGACTTCTGCTATGTGTCCTTTCTCTGTGGCCTCACTTCTCTATTGTGGACATAAATACCCCAGTGATAAGCCCTCTCTCCCACGCCTGGGAAAAGAGTCATCACAGGAAATATGACTTCACAATGAAGGAAGCAGCCATGGCCTGGAGAATATTCTGTCTTTGTCAGACGCTAACACCACCCTGAGTGTGCCAGAGGAGCCTGTGTTTGTTTTGGGTTTCTGCGAAGACATGTCACCTCTGCATTTGAGAAAAGAACAGCAGCTCATTTGTCAGTGGGCCTAGGATTCTGCCTGCAGATGTTACAGTCTAAACGCACGGCTAGAACAAAAGCTATCAAGACTCATTAGGCGCAAAGACAATGGCCCGTTCAACGCTCTGACACACCAACAGCTATTCTGGAGGAATCATGCCTGGGTCTGCAGTACCCACTTTGTGTATCTTGTATTTAAAGTGAAGGTCTCAAGATTTATGAACACTTCCACCTGCCCTCTGGTTTAGCCAAGGAACTGCCAGAAGTTAGGTAAAGACGGCAGGCAGGACTGGGGGTGACTTACACGAACTTTCTTCGATGAGTTGGCGATGGTGCTTGCCATCTTAATGCCTTTAATTTTGCAAAAGATGGTGGTGAGATCTTGGTTTCTAGTGATATTTTCAAAACTGCAATTTAATTGCCCATTTTCTCCATGGAAAAGAGTGATTTCAATGTCTTTCTTGGAGATGTTGAAATTATCATTTTCTTTCTGTGAAGAACAAAATGAAGAGGAAAGAAGAACATGTGGACACTCACAGGCACAAGCCCTCCTTCCAAACAAGGGGGCAGGTGACACCCACCCACGGGAAAAGAAACATACTTGAATCTTGACTTCTAGTTCTGTGTCGACCTCAGATTCCACCCGATACCCTGTGAATCGGGGGTCCTCCAGGTACTGCAAGGTCCCACAGTCCAGAAAGGTGTCTTGTACGCGCAGTTTCACAGTGACATTCGTGCGTGCTTTTGAACTCTTTAAATTGGGGGCCAAAAACCTGCAGTAGGTTGCCACACAATATTCAGAGACCTGGGAGGGAAGAAAGGAGCATGTCAAGGACCTCATGAGCAAATCCCTGCTCTAGTCTCTAGAGCTCAGTGGCCTGGGCAGTTTTACTGCTTGGTGTTTCTGTTTTCTCATCTGTGAAATGGGGACAGGCTTAATTCAACCCAGATTACACCAAATGAGACAGCACTCATTAAATTAAAGAAGGGCTAAATGAAAGGTGATCCCATAGGCAACAATGCTTAGCGCAGCACCTGGAATGTAGGACGCTCTCAGGTGTTGTCATTGCTCTCTGAGTGCCAAGGAAGCAGTAGAAGGTTCTGCGGTGGGCAAAGGGACTCTGCAGAAAGAGGCTGGAGGAAAGGAAAGGCTGGCTGTGGGCTCAGGTGTCCTCCAGGCAGCAGGTCTGAGTACCAGGAAACCTCAGGCCAGAAGGGCCAGCCTGCAGCAGGGCAACCTCCACACCAGCTGCCCAGGAAAAAGGGCCCTTGGGCGTCACAGAAAACAAGAGAAAACAAGTAGAGGCAACGTGTCCCAGTGAAACCAAAAGCAGGAAACCTGGAAACTGCAGAAGCTCTGGTCTGGGTACAGGCTTATTGAAAACAACATATATCTGTCCTGTCCAGGTGTTCAGCAAGACAGGCTGTGGAATATGAGAAATAGGGGACACACTTTTTTTGGAATCAGGGTTTCCCTCTGTTGCCCAGGCTGAAGGGCAGTGGCACAGTCACCACAGCCTCGACCTTCTGGGCTCAGGCAGTTCTCCCGCCTCAGCTTCCTGAGTAGCTGGGACTACAGGCCTGTGCCACCACACCCAGTAAGTTTTTTTTTGTTTTTTTTTGTTTTGTAAGACAAGGACTCGCTATGTTGCTTAGGCTGGTCTCAAATTCCTGGGCTCAAGCAATCCTTCTGCCTCGGCCTTTCATAGTGCTGGGATTACAGGTGTGAGACATCGTGCTCGGCAACATGTATTCAAGAAGAGCAACTACAGCTTGTAGAATAAATCTGTCAGCAGAAAACACATGTCTCTTTCCCCTAATGTTGGAGCATTAAAAGGAGGGCAGGAAGAGGTGGAAGGTGGGAAGCTCAGACATCTAGAGCCGGATCCACAAGAGCAGGACCTGCTGCCACCCTGACTGTCCAAACGACACCCTGTGTCTTGCATTCACACTCCTGTGGATGGATGACAGCCTCTGCCCACGGTCTCCCCAGCCTTCACTGCTATAGCTGGCTTTTCACCAAGATGCCTTCTAGAAGGATTGGTAGCCACAGGTTCATCCCAACTTCCTCATCCTCATGACGCTGCATGTCCGCCCTAGTGGCCACTCCTGGGACTAGAAGTGCCCTTTCCACCTGCGAGTCTCTGCCCCTCAATCCCTGCAATAACACCCTTCTGCCTGTTTCACCCTGGGTGCCCTTCTTCCTCCTGTGAGCTCTAACTCACACGATGGCCCACACTCCCCTTCACGAGGATGCTCCCAAGACCACCCCGCTGACCAAGCTGACCACTCCGCGTCACTGTGGCCGGGCGTCCGAGACCCACCCGGCTAGTGCAGCCCAACAGGCCTGCAGCTAGAGGGGCTGTGGCAGCCCTTACACGCCTGGACGAGGCAGGGCTCCCCGTCTTCCCTCATTCCCACCTCTCTACACCACTAACACCACTGCTAACATCATGACCACATGGTGCACCCAGATGTGCCTCACCCTCTGCAGAGTAATCAGTAGCTCCCACTGCTACAGAATTCTACCTGACACTCCTTCGTGTGGCTCTCGAGTGGTTGATGCATAAGTTCGTAGTGTTTGTTTTTGGCATAGCACACTGGTGCTGGGAGTTTACAGTTTGTCATTTGTCATTTAGAGTAACAATGTTGTGCTTGTAAACACGCCTTGCATTTTGCAGTTTGAAGAAAGTGAGTGCTATCGTGGGCTAAAGATGATGGAGTGTCAATTGAAAAAAAGAGCACTTCCGCCATATTCCTCTGCTTGAGTTTAACAGGGGAGGGAAGGCAGTGGAGGCGGCTCAAGACATTTGTGCTGTGTCCAGGGAGATAGCTGTCGGGGAGAGTATGGCAGGAAGATGGTGGTATTGTTTCAAAGAGAGCTACTTTGACCTGAGAGGTTGTTCACATTCAGGAAGACCATCAGACTTTGATGAAGACCATTTGGACACTTTAATCCATGATGATCCATGTTGATCAACCCGAGAATTGACAAATGTGATGAACTGTGACCATCAACATCTACATTCCATGGGCAAGTGAAAAACGCTACCAACTTACGCATCAACTAACATACTATTCCTCTCACTCATTCCTGACCCATCCTCCAGAACCCACGGGCAGGACTGAGTGACACTCCAGTCATGCCCTGGGAGGAAGTTGTCCCCCGTACCAGAACCCACCTTCCTGCTGCCACCTATCCAAATCCTCCTACTCTGCCTTGCTGTCCGATAAACTGACTTCCATTCACATTCACTTCTCTACTTGTCCACCATGCTTTTGTGGACTCAGGGGGTTTCTGAGCTGGAAGGGCTCTATGACATCCCATGTGCCAACTTCCAATCCCGGTGAAGGCAATAGGAATATCTCATTTATCCTTTGCCCTTGCACCCAGCAACATGCATTCCCCAGTAGGTGCTCAATAAAGCCAACTTGACTAGGGAGCAGCATGTGAGAGGAGCCAGTCCTGGACAAAGGCAGGCCCCACCTCTTCCAGATGGAACAGAGAGTCACACTCTGGATTGCATGCATCTTGGGGATGTGGCCCCATGAGTGTATGGAAGTCAGGTGCAGTGGGAGGCTTGGAGCTGGCTGAAGTGTGTCAGCAGGCAGGCATGGGCATGACAAGGCTATAAGGATGACATAGCAGAGGCCTCCTGAGTCCAGGCCTGAGCCCACACCAGTCCCAAGCAGGGACAAGGTCTATGGCAATCTGCTTCAGGCAAATCAGCAGGAAGTGGTCAGGCAGGCCCCAGAGAGGCCACATGTCTTTCATCAAGGTCAGGGAGAAAGGGGAAGAGAGAATAGGGAAGAACATTCCGGAAGCGTGGAGCAGTACTCAGAGGCCCAGCCTGTATCTAATGTTCCACCTTCCCTCTTACTCCTGGAGTGGGAAGCTTCAGTCTAGGGTGGATCCCCCAGCACTGTAGGGGGGGACTCTAACATGGGTGGGACCAGATCCTCGTATGGCTTAATCTTTGCAGAAAGAGGCAAGAGAAGGTGAGGTCAGATGGCAGGGACTGAACCAGGTTAGAGAGACAAGGGTAAGTACCTGACGAGATGCCTGCCTCACTCTCCCTGCATGGTGGGCACACCACCACCCACTCTTCACAGAAACGTTTCCTCACCTCACACTTGAACCATTCGTGAAGCATTTTCACACATGTTCATAAGCGTGGTCTCACTAAAGCAACTCGCCACAAAGCCACACAAGGGGAAGATGACAGGGCTTGCCGCACCACGTTCACTTCTCTTCCTCCATCCCACAACCAGAGAGACCCAACTACAAGTCAAAGGTCTTATTGTTTCTGCCATAGCACAGACAGTCTATGTCATACAACAGGCAAAAGTTTACAATACCAGGTCACAGAAATAATATATATTCCCCGTCAGGATACAGAGTGACAAAGACAAGATCATCATTGAAAATAGCTGTTATTACAAAGCAGCTGAAGACTTACATTGATGTTTCCTTTTAACTCATGGGAAATGATCAAGTTGTCAATTACGTCGAAATTTCTGCCCATGACGGTTATATTTTGACCACCACTGTAAGGAATAAAAGCAACAGTAAAGGTTTCACAGTAAACACACAGGCATTTTGCATTTAAGAACAAAGCTATCAGTCTATCCACATTCAATTTTAAACTCACTTAGGTCTGAGAGCAAATTAACTCATTTTAATTTAAAATGCAGGATGTAGAAGCCTTTTCAGGATACTGGCCACACATTCATGGCTTTCAAGGTGCACGTGTACAAAAATTCATGTCAGATCCTCCTGATTCTAGGAAAATGCTCACATTCTTTAATAGAATTTGAAATGTGTTGTGTCATTTGACCACATAGAATCAGAGCAGCAGCTGCACCTTGAAAATGTGTCACTAAACAGAATTTTGTTTGATTGCCATTTAACCTATATGAAGATGCATCAGTCTAACAATTTTCAAAATCAAACCCCCAGCCTGCCAATTATATTTTATTTAGCAAAGCAGGAAACACTTTGGACAAGGTAAAATTATGAATGACACTAAAAGTGTACGCTCAGCTTCCTCCTGTCTCTCTAGAACCAAGCCAAATGACTCCATGTCCCACGCAGAAGCACAGCAGTCACTGGGTGTGAATAAACAACTTGCGCACTCGGCTGCCCACATGCCCTTGTTCACGTGGTTACTAGGCACCCATTCTAGGGGACAAGAGCCTGGCATGTCAGGTCCAACAGCTGCTGATGACAAGACCAAGAGGTGGGCACGGATAGCCTGACTTGTGAGGGCAGAGAGAAGTCAGAGCCCTGGATCCTCCAGCTATGGGGGGTGGGGCCAAGATGGTCTTGTACCAGTCTGTAGAAAATCCAGCAGGGAGTGTTCTGCCGATGGCCAGCCTTCAGAGCCACATTCTTGTTCAAGACACACAGGCTCAGGAAGTCACAGGCAACAGGACAGTGAGGTCCTCTTGCATCACAGCCATGTAGTATCCTGTAATGGCTCAGAGCATGACGTCCTGGGCTAGGCTGTCTGGGAGCCTGGGACAAGGTGTCAACCCTCTTTCTGCCTCAGTTCCCTTGCCTGCAGAAAGGACAGCCCACAGTGGACCTCTTACATTTGTTATGAGGAGTAACTTAGTTGATGAATGAACACACCAGGCCTGTGGTGCGTGCCACATGAGTTCCTGCTTTTATACACAGGACAGAATTAGGCTCAGAGTGGGGAAGCATTGTGCCAGGGCCCTGGCTTGACATTTCAGATGCCCTCATTTCATTGTCATAGGCTAAATTGTGCCCCCACACAATTCATGTGTTGATGCTCTAACTCCCAGGACCTCAGGATGTTGCTGTATTTGGAGACAGGTTATTATAAAGAGGTAATTAAGGTTGAAGAGGTCATTGGGTGGACTTTAACCCAGTAGGACTGGTGGCCTTAGAAGAAGCAGAGATGAGGACAGAGACACACAGAGGAAAGGCTGTGTGAGGACACGAGAGCAAATGGCCATTTATAAGGTGAGAGGCCTCAGAAGAAACCAACCCCCAGCACCTTGAATTCAGACCTCCAGCATGAGAACTGGCAGGAAACACACTTCTGTTGTTTAAGCCACAGAGTCTGTGGTCCTTTGTTACGTCCGTCTAGAAATCTAACATAGCTACCTCTCACTTGATCTTGAATATGAATATTGACAGTGGTGTTTTTTTTTTCTCTTCTCTTTTCCCTTTTGTTCTTTTTTTCTTTTTTAACAATGTTTTGTCTGTAGTTTTATCTAGAAAGTGCTTTGAAAATTAGCTCCACTCTGTGTTAGGTAAAGAAAATATCTTTAGGATTCTATTCCAAAATCTGAAGGTGAATTTGAATTCAACTAGGGAAAATGTTCATTGCAGCACTATTCACAATAGCCAAGGCATGGCATCAACCTCAGTGCCCATCAATGGACAAATAGATGAAGAAAATGTAGTAGACATAACACAGTGGAATATTATTCAGTCATGAAAAAAGAATGAAAGAAGGAAATCCTGCCATTTGTATTAACATGGATGGAGCTAGAGGTCATGGTGTTATGTGAAATGAGCCAGGCACAGAAAGACAAATATTGCATGTTCTCACCCATCTGTGGGAACTTTCAAAGTGGACCTTGTGGTGATGGAGAGTAAAATGAGACACCAGAGGCTAGGAAGGGTGTGTGGAGGGTAGAGGGGGATCGTGAGAGGCTGGCTGATCGATCCACACATACATTAGGGAGAAGGAATATAGTTCAGTGCTTGGTAGCACATGAGAATGACTACAGTTAATAATACCTACTAGAAGAGTGGAATGTGAATGCTCCTAACACAAGGGAATGATGAGTATTTGCAGTGAAGGAAACCCCGACAACCCCGACTTGATCATTATGCACTGTATGCTTACATCAAAATGCACCTTATATAAAATGAACAGCTATTATGTATGAATAAATAATAGCAAAAATTAAAGACCAAAAAAAGCATTCAATAGGGATATTATTATTATTATTATTATTATTTTGAGTCAGGGTCTCACTCTGTCACCCAGGCTGGAGTGTAGTGGCTAGATCGTGGCCCACTGCAGCCTTGACCTCCAGGGTTCAAGCCATCTTTCTGCCTCAGCCTCCTGAGTAGCTAAGACTATAGCTGTGCACCATCACACCTGGCTATTTTTTAATTTTTTGCAGAGACAAGTTCTTGCTATCTTGTGCAGGCTGGGTTTTTTTTTCTTAATATGCTGAATTTATATGGAAGAATGTATTCTGAAATTTCCATCTCTCACTTAGGGAGCATCTCTAAAATGTTGATTCTGCTTTTTGTTTCAATAGCTCCCAGTATTTCCCCCAAAGAATTCCCAACAGTTTACTCTAAGGTTATAAAATGAAGATGGAAGAATGAAGCCTTTTACCATGGTTGGGACAGACATAGGGTGAAGAGTGCTACATATTTGTATCAGAAACCTAGGCTAGGAATAGTTACTGTGACTGAACAAACATTTTGGCTGTGAGTTTCCTGGCAGCCATAGTGAAGAAAGGAACAAGATGAGTTCCTCACGTCCACTGTGACGGCAAGAAGCAGCTATGTGCCAGGTATGCATTTCCCTAAGAGCCAACACTAAGAGGAGCTCTGTGAGAAGGATTTGGGATGGTTACTTTTTCTGGATGTATTTGAATGAAATCTGTGATCTTTATGCACTCGACCCCTAACCATAGGACAGAACCAGGCTGCAAGTCCAGGAAGTACCTGATCCAGGTGCTGGCAGGGACGATGAGGGCACAGTGAGGCAGGGCAATGTAGGACACAGGCCCCACAGCAGAGCAATTGCCACTGTCAAACTGGACGCACACAGTCTTCATCTCCTTCCGGCTGGATGGAAGAGAGAACTTCATGTGCGTGTCGTTCAGTACGTGGCTGACCCGGATCCTGGAGAGGGGCAGAGAGAGAGCCTTCCGTGACACACACACTCGGACGGCTGGCCGCCCAAGGTGGCAGCGCACACCCTTCCCTGAGCCACGACCCTCAATGCGGATGGAACAGCTGCAGGCTCCCCCCAGCTCATCAGGAGCCACCTGCTCAGTCTGGGTATGACATGGGGCTGGGTTCCTCTTTTCTGGGTACATTTTTATCTTTCTTATTTGCATTTCCCTTAGAAGTGAGAAAGGAAAGGGCTGTGATCACTGCCCTTAAGAAGAACTACTAGAAAGTGGAACATGGACTGGGTCTTAAATTGTATTAAGAATCATGGTAAATGTTGCTGTGCGTGATAATGGCACTACTGCTATCTGTTAAAGACATACTGGAGTTTTTATGAATGCCGCTTCTCCCCTGCAAAATGGATAAGATAGACAAAACAAGACTGGCAAAAGGAGGCTGGGAACAGTTGCGAGAGGTTTGTTACACTTATCTCTCTTGTATACATTCAAAAATTTCCATAAGAAGAAGCTTAAGGCTGGGCATGGTGGCTCATGTCTATAATCCCAGCACTTTGGGAGAATGAGGCAGGAGGATCACTTGAGCCAGGAGATCGAGACCAGCCTAGGTAACACAGTGAGACCTTGTCTCTACACAAAATCGAAAAATTAGTCAGGCATGGTGGCACATGCCTATAGTCCCAGCTGCTTGAGAGGCTGAGGTGGAAGGACCACCTGAGCCCAGGTGGTCGAGGTTACAGTGAATCATGATCGTACCACTGCACTCCAGTGTGGACAGCAGAGTGAGACCCCCAACTCAACAAATGAAATAAACTAAAATAAAAAGCTGAACAAGAAAAATAAGTCCCAGTCTAGCACCGGGAGGGAAGAAGCCAACACCAGACAGAGGTGGGAATTCTGCCATTCAAAGAACAGACAGTCTGTGCCAGGAGCCCAGGGGTCTCAGAATCAATCAGCAACAGGCCAGCCTGCTCCCAGGGAGTCTCCAGGCTAGGAAGCAGCTGGGACTGCCCAGGGTACTCCTGACTCCCAGCAGAAGGTGGCCTTGACAGCCTCTGAGTCAGAGCAAAGCCTTCAAGGACATTCCCTCTGCACTCTCTGCACACTGACCTGCACTCTCAGTGTGTCATGTCCACAGTGACCCTCTAAGGCACAAATCATTAAGCCCAGGCTGCGTCTGAATGCTGCTCAGGGTAATTATGCTACATGAGAATCTATTATTACTACTCAGAGGACATGGGTATGAGTATTAACTTTAATGCTGTCACCAAACCTTATGACAAGGCAAATTCAAAAAACATTGGAGTCTGTTAGTACCTAACACCACCGCAGATGTACATTTTAAGGTTTAGATTCAGAGCAGACCTCTAGGAAATCATAGTCAAATGGCTGATCATTAGAATTCAATCTTATTTATAAATTGTGGAAGGAGAGAGGTGAGCGTGTAGGGCATTTCACTATAATACTTGTATTTTTCTCTTTAAAATAATGACACATTTTAAAAATACCATATTAAAAGAGTCTGGGACGATGGCATGGGCTCAGGTATGGGATTAACTGAGCATTATGTTGACTGCTCATGAACCTGGGTTCACCCACAGATGTGGTTACTGAAACGCAACATGCAGAAAGGTCTCCCAGTCATTTAATTTAATAACTGCAGCATCACAAGACACATTCAGAATTAAAATGAGAGCGTAAAGAGTCAGACACAGGATGATGCTTGAAAAACTACTTATTTTACATAAAGCTGACTGCCTTTCTGTGAATACACAGGTGTCTAACTTCACAGATTTTGCTACACAAAATGAAAGACTTTTGCAACAAGGTAGTTAGCCAGGATAAACGGCACAAAAAGCCCTCTGTTGCATGGATACAGCCTCTAATGCTTGCTTGGTAATTCTGGAAGAGAGCAGAACAGAGGCAAGCCACCAATGAGCAGCTTTCTTGGAGATCACAGATCTTCCAAATTTACTGCCACGAGGGGGAGGGGATGGCAGCTTCGTGCAGCAAATGAATTAAAACAGAAAATTCAGTAAATAAGCAATGGCAGATTAGGATGCTGCACAAATCTGTTTTAGTAGCTAAAAACCAAAACATCACGCTTCAGCAGACTGTCTTAAATGCATTTCCACGATGAAAATAAGCTCAGTATTGTACTTCGTGTAGACTGTAACATCTTTCACTTCAAATTAGCCCAAGCTTAGAAAAGTGAATGAGCAGAAAACTCAAATAATCTGTCATGTTATTAATATTACATTTTGAGGGGAGGCATGGGGTGGCAATGTTCACAAGGACATCAGTGAGAGACTGACATTTCTTTTCTCGAAGTTTAATTGACAGGATGAGCTAGGGAGAGAAGCCATAGAAACAAGGACGCACAAGAGGTCCCTGGACCTGACATGTACAATGAGGTATTTTGTTCTTTTTTACTACTCATGTATACAGTAGTAATTTAATTATTGGAGATTGACACCAAACAGATGAAGAGAAGAAGGCTACAAAGAATAAAGTCTCCACATAAAATGGATCCCAAGAGTTGCCACATCAAGTTCTCCGTTAAGTTCCAAAGTACTTAACTATTTTTCTAAGCACATCGTCTTAGATATTGTTTGCAACTGCACATACTTGATTTTGTTATTGAAAAATGAATAAAGACCCAAAATAGGCAACATCCTGAATTTTTTTTTTTTTTTTTTTAGAAACAAAGTCTCACTATGTTGCCCAGGCTGGTCTCAAACTCCTGGGCTTAAGCAATCCTCCCATCTTGGTCTCCCAACATGCTGAGATTATAGGCGTGAGCCACTGCACCTGGTTCTAAAATTACTGTAGACTGAGATTGGTGGGGGGAGTAGCACAAGACAGATTCTCTCACAGTGAACTTCCAGTGTATTGTTAAAATTATTGTACATATTGGAATTATGTCAAACACTCAGACCAATTGTCCCACTCTTGCACATGGAAGTGATTTGACTGTACAAAGGTTGTCATCGCACTGATACTCCGTTGGCATGGCTTTTAGCTTTAGGTCACTGAGGATAGATTACTGGCATTTCAACTCACACATCCTTCTCACAAGTACTGGTTCCTTTCAGGATCATCGTAATGTCTGACGCCAGGGTAAAGTTTGCTCCCGTAACGATCACATTATTTTTCCCCAAGGTCGATATTTTCTGAGGCTCGATGGACTTAATGTAGAAGACCTATTGGAAAGAAAAGACGAAACACGAGATCAAAGCTAAGAAATGGCACTGCTCCAAAGAATCTGTTTATGCGCTGCCGTTCGAAAAAATCACTGGGAAATTACAACATTTTGCAAACACAAGCAGACAGTGTTTAATGAAATCAATGAATTCAAGGGAGAGTGCTGAAGATTCGTGTCTCTCACCATGTGACAGCATGAGGTCAAACCAATTAGTCTTTGTCTCACAAGACAGTTGAAAAGGCAGCTGAAGAATCTGACATCCTGTCTGCGGAGTAGTAGCACTAGTTTGGAGAATGCTCACAGCCTCCCCGCCTCCTAAGGCCCACGTATAAGCAGAAGAAAGGAGAAGAAAAGGAGGCCACTGACCATGGGCCAGTCACAAATTCATCGTAAAGCTGAAATAAATGTCCTTCCAGGCAAATTTAATTTCCAAGAAAGCAGTTTATACTTTGTTTATGTTAAGCTAGCTGAATCAAGGACTAGACTGCAGGGGAAGAGATCTCAAGAAGCCAAGCTGTCCAGTCACCTGATATCAAGTAGCTGGATGCCCAAACTGTTGTGGGCAACTGCTTCTTTTTTTGAGTCTCATTCTGTTGCCCAGGCTGGAGTGCAGTGACATGATCACAGCTCGCCTCAGCTTCCATCTCCTGGGCTGCCACCTCAGCCTCCCAAGTAGCTGGGACTGCAGGTGCCCGACCCCATTTCTTTTCAAGGGTTTTCCCATACCACAATCTCCCTCTTGCTATCTGATCCCATGTCCCTGGGTTCCCTAAAGCCCAGTCTCATGTTGTACAGGAGATTGCCACTTGCCTCTCCATGTGCCATGTCTAACAAAAGGCCTTTAAAAAAGCCCTTTATCTGATGACAAGAATAATTTTCTCTGTTCAAAACAAAGAAAGTCCTAATTTATTTTACACTCCTCTTACAGTTGCTCCCACCTATTGTTCTGGTCACTTTATTGCTCTTCTGTGTTATTCAGCAGTCTGTATTATTCCACAACATGGTGACCAAAACAGGACATGGGATTCTCTGATTCCAGCCCACAGCCAGGTCAGCAGATCTGTAGCATGAGGGAACATCATACTTGCGCTCTTATTTTTTCTGTTGCCTTGGTCATTGCAGAGCATACTCACAGTCTTGATATTTCAAAGTGGCCCCAAGGTCCAGATGCTTAATCATGTGACATTTGGCAAAACTAGAAATGCTGAGTGTGTCCACTTGGAGGACACAGTCCAGGAGGAAGCTCTGAGCCACTGGGAGAGCTTCCTGATGTCCAGCACCTGCCTAACACCTGCTTCTACAAGCAGCGAGTGTCCCCTGCTCAGTAGAGGCCTTACGGGGTGCTGGGGCACCTGTCCTGCTGAGATGGATGTTTTCTCACCCTGTTCCTGGGCACACACAGGTGCTCCCAGCAGGGCAGCCCCACCATGCACTGGCACTTCAGATGGGCTTTGCCGATCGAGGCACATCCGTCGTGAATGTCATCATGGCAGTGATGTAACGTGACATAGAATTGATTCCAGTAGCAGAATTTATTTTAATCACTCTGTGAAGGACTTTAGCCTTGTATTTATAGAATCACTAAGGGCCCGAAAGGGTCACTTTAATTATTCTGTTATACTTGACTGCGTTTTATGGGGGAAATTATCTGCTAGAGTGGTACTTGGGATGGGGGGGATTAGCAAAGCCTTCAAGATAAATCTCCTGCAAATGTCAAGTGTGTGTTATACAGCAAAAGGCTTCCTCTTGGCTCTTACATGGTGACAGCCAAGGGAACAAGTATTTACTGAGCACCTATAGGGTCCTCAGACCAGCACTAGATGCTGACGGGACACGTGACCCATGCATGTACCAGATCAGAAGAGGAACAATGACAGTCTGCGGGTCAAATCCTGCCCACTACCTGCCTGTGTGTGGCACATGGAGAAATGTCAGAAGGAGAGTATTTTATGCCACGTGAAAACACATGAGATTCACCTTGGGGCATCCACGAATACCCATCTGTGCTGTGTGACTGGCTGCCTTTCCCCACTGTGGCAGAACTGAGTACCCGCAGCCAGACACCACATGGCCCACAAGCCTAAAATATTTACTATCTGGTTTCTTGTAGAAAACACTGTCAACTTCTGCTCTAGAGGGGTCCTCCATCTTCCTCGGCAAGACTGAACTTTTTTAAAAAGTATAAACCTCAGTGAAGACTCACATTTACATCCAAGTCTCTTTTCTTCCCACAGTCCTTCCCACATCTTATATGAGGGGGAACCCAAAAAACCCCCAGAATTTGTTTATAAAAAAGTTGTATGTTTATTCTTCTATGTTTAAGCTTCAGTCACTTTCAAAGTATTCTCTGTTTGGTGCAATATCCCTGTCGAGATGCTTTTTCCACTGCTCAGAAGTTTTTGAATTCGTTAACTTTGATGCCTTTTAGGACTTCTGCCATTCTAGGTTTCCCCTCTTCCACACTGGCAAAATGTTTCCCTTGGAGGGATTTTTTTCATCAGGGGAGACAACAAAAAAAGCGACCTGGGGTGAGACTGGGTGAATAGGGAGGGTGGGGCATGGGGGTCAGACTGTTTTGGGTCAAAAACTGCTGAACACTCAGTGCGGTGTGGACAGGTGTGTTCATAACTCACCCATTATGAAATGGACAAACATGTTGAAAGAATCTCCAAAAAAAGCAAAGATTCACTGAAGCCCAATGCAGTCTCTCACCACAATGCTACCTGGTCCATGGATGCCGATGGGTTCCTAGAACACTTACCTAGCGGGGGAGGCCCGTATTACAAGGGGCCTGTCCTCCAAAAGATAACTCCAGTTTTTAGGGGGTGTCTCCCTCGTATTTATATACTGTTGATATCTGCCTGAACAAAACATCCAAGCATGCCAAGTAAATGCTACATGTCCATCGTCTGTGGAGAAGAGAGCCGTATAATGAACACAGAAATGATTTTTTAGGAGAATTACATTTTGCTCCTTAAATGGCTACACAAACACCACCAGATGATCTGCCACATCATCTTAGTAACTTTTATTTCCCTGAGCAGAGACAGCCTTGCTCCTTCAAAAGGATTTCATCGTAAGTCCTTATTGTTTCGAGAAGTTCCGCTGGCCGCCTAGGATGGATTCCAGCCGTGGCCTATCTCATGAGAGCAGATGCTCCCAGTCTGCCTTCAAAGAGGGTCAGATGAGTTATCTTTTGTTGCTGGCAGGACCTCTCCTAATCTTAATAAGTGGACACAAGAGCTACCAGAAGGGCCTCCCTAAATAGACAGTGCAGGTATACAATAGAATGTTGGAGACAGAGAGAAAGAGAGGGTTGGGGGCAGGGGGCAGGGAGAGAGAGGGAGAGGAGGAGATGGGGAGACATAGACGGCAGTTTTGCGGCGGCAACAATTCTTAGAAATACATCTTCTGCTTTTGTTGATGAAGATTTTGAAAAATCCAGTACTGACAAAAAGGCAAAGAACACTCTCCCCACAAAGTTTGTTTTTTTGTTTTTTTTTTGAGTTGGAGTCTCACTCGGTCGCCCAGACTGGAATGCAGTTGGCTGCACCCGGCCACCGCAGCCTCGCCTGCTGGGCTCTGAGATCCTTCCGCCTCAGCCTTCCGGGTAGCCAGAATTACAGGCATGCGATACCACGCCCAGCCGATTTTTTGATTTATTGTAGAGATGAGGTCTCGCTGCCCAGGCGGGTCTCGAACCCGCGGGCTCAGGCAATCCACTCACCTCAGCCTCCCAAAGGCATGGAATTACAGGTTGAGCCACCAAGCCCGGCCCCACAAAGTTTTTATACACTCAATATTTTGGATCAAGCTTATACACAGAAGGGGTGAATTTATGAACATGATTGAGCCTGATCCAAAGAGATAATTTACTCCAGCTCTACAGTGGGGTGCCTCCCTCAACCCATGTCTAAGGAGTTCTATACATCCAGCTGAAATACCGCTGACTGTAACTATCACAGTCCCACATTGTTCAGCAATTACATGAGAAGAGTCCACTTTCTGTCGCTTTTATCTGTTTTTTTCTTTATTATTTTTTGAGTCAGGGTCTCACTCCATTGCCCAGATCAGAGTGCAGTTGCATGATCATATAGTTCATCATAGCCTCAACCTCCTGAGCTCAGACAATCTTCCTTTCCTCAGCATCCTGAAGCTGGAACCAAAGGCATGTACTACCACACCCAGATAATTCTTTGATTTCTTTTGTAGAGTTGGGTTAGGCTGGTCTTAGACTCTTGGGCTCAAGCAATTCTACAGTCTTGGCCTCCCAAAGTACTGGGATTATAGGCCTAAGTCACCGTGCCCGGCCTGTCCGTTACATTTTAAAGAATTCAGGGTTATGTTTAAATGACTACCCATTTTGAAATTATTTAATAAAATACTATGAGATCTGGTTGCTACTCCCTACTTTGTATAAAAAAGCACATTAGAAACTGGTTAATTAGTTTCTGCCCAATTATTTTTATTTTTTATTTTTAACTAAGTTATTCTCAAATACTGTATTGGAAATAGCATAACCACTAAGAAGTAGTTATCTTTGAAAAGGTCTAAGAAGATTACTCCTGACAGTCAGAGTACCTTTTGTGAAGTCTGACGTCAACACAATTCAAATTACCATGACATTAATGGAGAAAATACTGCTATGATTGAAAGGAATATTGGAGAGAGGTGCATTAGGATGGCTCAGTTTATTAAGACCAAATTGTACTCTATTAATCTGTTAAAAAAAAATCTGAATATAGCAAAGCTCTCTATAGGCCTGGACCTAAATCAACACTCAGTAAAACATCTCTTAGATTTTCACTCATGAAATTAGTTCAAACAGGACTGGATAAAAAATCACATGGATTCGAACCCAGCTGGAAATCTGAAAGCAAACGACATTAGAGAGATGAAAGGTGGCATGACTAATTAAAGGAAAGTGTCCTGTAGGGCCCTACAGGGGCAAGGATGGGGTTCAGAATTATTTAACATCTTTATTAACGACCAAGAAGG